TCTATATCCGCATTTTTTCTCTCTTAGATCTGGGCATGATTTTTCACTTTTCTATAACTACCATCTGTTGCGTATCGATTTATTTTCAAATTAAAAACGTTCAGATTCGTTTGCACGTTCGGCTCTCATAACAGTAACTCACATTTTCTTTGTAAGTTGCTAAATTTTCACTACGCTTTGATAAAAACTAGTATAAGTCAATTTTTTTTCTTCGCATCGTGCGTTCTTATATTGCCTCCATAACAAGCAATAAATAAGTCTGTAGAGAGGAGAGTATTTAGAACGTTATAATATATAAATGAATACCTTACATAAAGCAAAATCATCATTTTCTGTAATTTTTACGAGATGGATCCGCTTGGACCCCCGGACACTATTCAAGTTATAAAATGAGGATGGTAACCGAGAGTTAAGGGAAGTGGAAAGACATCAGTAATGAAACGTCTATTTATAAATATATATGAAATAGAAATTTTCTACTATTTACCAAGTTACTGGTAAACATGCTTGTGTTGGTGATACGAAATTATTAAGAAATAATATCGTTGCCCACCAATGATTATGACAAGTTGGCACTTCGAAACCATTCACTGTTGGAAAAATTGGACCTGATCCCATCCATGGAGTTAAATGCATACTAATAAGTAATACAAATACTAATGTTGGAATTAATCGACAATAACGATGAAAATAATAACAAAATAAATGTTGAATACGAAATACATCTAAATAGACAAAAAAAACGTTATTTTATCAATTTCTTTTTTTTTCAAAAATAATTTACTTTGATTTTGAAATGTAGTAACAAATACAGATACTGCTAGAAATCCACTAATAAAAAAGAATGTATCTACACCATATACAGCACCAACTATTAATTGTAATAATAATGAATTATGTATATTATCAAAGATATGAACAACATTATCTGCTATACTCAAATAAAAAGTATATGAATGACCAAGAATAATCCATAGTAATGAAATTGCACGTATTCCATTTATAAATGAATATGTTGAAGGGCTTCTTTTTAACGAAAAAATCTTTTTCAATGTTGTTATTGGAGAATATTCATTTAGGAAGGGTATAAATGTTGCAAAACATACAAATAAGCTAAGTAAAATAATTAAACTTATTGTATATGTTGTTCCTATTGAAAAATATCTCTCATCGGATCTACATTGAATTGCTAAAGATCTAAAAAAATAAAAAATTACTATTTCTTTTTTGATTTAAACTAAATAACTAACTCTATATGAAAATCATGTGAATGACATGATATTGGTAAACAGATTCCAATAATTAATGCTGGTTTTGCAAAGAAAACATTATCATCATCAGTAGTATTAGATGGACTAGAAACAGTACAATATTTTGTATGATATGGTTGTATAACATGAGTTTGATTAGTTGGTAAATAAAGTGGATGAAGACATTCATCATATGAACCTAACCATAAATGAGATCCTTCGAGAAGACCAGCTGGTGGTTTTATACCCCATGAATCGATAATTTTTAATGCCCATTTTTCTTTTTGTAGAAATCCATTCATTAATAATAACAAATCATCATGACAATGTGTTTCATTGACAACAAATGATAGAAGAGATGATAATGTAAATGAAAATGATGGATGTGAAGTTGTTGCACGAGCATGAAATAATTCTAATGTATGATGAAAACTTGTACTTCGTGGAAATGTCCATGATTCATAAGCTAATAATGTATTTATCAATACAATAAATAAAAGAAAACGACAGACTATCATCTTCGCTGACTGATAGAAATGTATGAATCTATTCGTTCAGATACATACGTATATATATATATATATAATAACGATCGAGGTCATATACTATTAGTGCATACTCTTATCAGTTCGGGGGTTAAAATATATTGAGAAGGTTATAATTCAGTTCTATCGATTGAGGTAAAAGAGTTGAATCATTTATAATCTCCTTTAACTTTCATACCAATTCTTATCTAAATTGTTTGTTGATGGTGATATATACAGCTGTGAAGTTTTCCTTTTATGATAAATAAAATGATATAAAAACGAATGTATTAACTCGAGAAAACGAATTTTTCATCAAATTATGCTTAGAATGCATACATATGTATATAAAGTGCATTACGTTATCTTTCTTCTATTTGGATATATATATCTAATAATGTACAAAGAATCGTATAGACATCATGATTAGTCACTATTCATTCATTCAACCGTCTATTCGAAGAAGATGACATTCATTTATGTATGAATCTTTCTATTATAAATTATTGTTGGTGATAGAATTATGTAGAAATGAGTGTAAGACAAATAGTTCGAAAATCGTAATAGGTACCGACCTGTGGTTTTTATCAATCGAAAGAGTCTAAGTCGAGGTATCTTTGTCTTCAATAATATATAATAAGAAATCCTTCTAAAATTAATCAACATACTAAAGAATACATGAAAATGACTTAGGATCTAAATCTATAATTCAAGATATAATGTACTTTCTTACTTTTCATCGGAATGTTAAACTGTTTTGATAAACAATGTGGCAGCACAGTAATAATTAACTAAGTTTTCTATTACTTACACATCATTGAAATTTAGTTACTAAACTATCTGTATTATATCTCTATCTAAATGGAAGATCAACAACGAAATTTGTCAAGGTGGTAGGTGACTTTCATGTATTCTATTGGATGTTTGCTTCAGAGGTGACTAATTCTAAAAAAAGTTATCATATATTTTATCTGAGAAAATGACATTTTGACTTCATTTCTTTGAATTGATGAGAACCACAGATCATTAGTTATAGTCATTCTCGAGATATTCGTCTTGTACCCATTCCTACGTAACTCTAACTCGAACAAAAATAGTATCTTATAAAGATAAACATTTTTGATTCGAAAATATTTTTTCTCGTAATTGAACGATATCGAAATATGTTAATGATTCATATAAACATTTCTTTGATCTCTTTTTTTCGTAAAAATCATCTATTAAATTACTCTTTATCAACTGATATGTATAAGATAAACTTGATCGTACATAATAAGAAAGTTATCTCACTCTCACTTCATTTGTTATTTCAAAAACAAAACTTTAGTATTCATCCATATATACTAGAGTATGACTTTTAAAAAGTCATTTGTTTTTCTATACATGTTAAAGTTTAATCAAAAATTTTCGAACTTTAAAAAATTGCGTTGTTCAATGTTAGTAATTTATATATATTGTTTTAATTTTTATTCTCAATACGATAATTGTGCAATCTATTCATTGCATATGTTGTTAATACATTTGTAAATCATTATCTTTTAGTATTCACACAAAATTTGAAAGTAAGAACTAAGTATAAGAAGCTTTATGAAGAAAAAAAACCTCCGCCTACGGATGTAATTTTCTTCTATAGATATAGTAAATTGAGAAAAAAAGTAACTATAAAATACAATGAATACAAAATAACTATATATTATGGCGCTTTTTAAGTTTATTACATTCAATATAAAATATAAAATATTTACACATGATAGACTTTGATACTTTTCTACGTATATATATATATATATTTGCGAACATATTGAATTGATGAGGCATCGCATTACTTTGAAAAGTTTAATAACATTCATTGATCATCACTCGTATGCACTTATTTCTAACGAATAAAATGACAATGTATGTTGTATTTCAAGATATAAAAAATTCATTGTCGTATTTGGCATCAGCTGTGTCTACTCTTATTCCTTTTTCTTCCTTGTTCATTCTTCCATAGTCGATTGCACATCACTCATTCTTTTACTCGTTTTTTTTTTTTAAACTTTTTTTCTTTCTTATACTTATTCAATCATTGCTTCTAATTGTCGATGCATTCACATGTCTGTTAGAACGATTTGTATGTATGGTGATTGTCGTTGCCGTCACCACACCTTATCACTCAATTGCTTGATTGAGTGATTCAAGATGGAAGAGAGAGAGGGAGAGAGAGAGAAAAACGAGAGATCAGCATAAAAGTTAATTTTTATTCGACACACATACGTACATATATATATATAAGAACAATCAGCTGTCGACCATTCCCGAGACAGATCGGATCTCATTCTCTCTTCGTCTTTAAAAACGATCTCTCTCTCTCTCTCTCTCTCTCTCTTTTTCTTCCATACCCATTATACAAAGTGAATATTTGATGTGAACGTGTGCTGAGTATAAGTCTTACTAACATACATCGACAATGCATAAGCACGATTCATTACCAATCGATCGAACGAGAAATGACAAAAGAAAGAAAAAAGAAGAAATAGTAGTTTTTATTCAAGTAAGTAAATGATAATATTAATGGTAAAACTATTCATTATGTTAGTACTCAAACATTTATTCATTAGTTACCCGCTTAGCAACGGACTTTTGTTGTATAAATATATTCAGAAGCTCGTCACTAACGGGTCTCATATGAATGATTATCATATTGATATATTTTAACGTTTAAATAATGTTTTTTCAATAATAAAAAATGGTGTTTCAATAAAAATAAATATAAGAATTGCTGTTGTATAACTAAAGAATATATGTGAAACAAAATTATTCACAACTAAATGTGGTTGATAATAAAAAGGTATTCGTTGATTTGTAATACTCATATAAATGACTGTTAAATGAATTAAATATGTCGAATAATTCAAACGAGCTAAAGGTACCCAGAAAGACCATGAAAGTATTTTATTTACTATACCACCTTGATTTGTCATACATAAAAATAATAACCATCCAATAGCCATTGACCAGAGTGTTCGTGAAAGTGATTGATAGATAATAAATGATGTTTTATCAATACCAGGTACTAGAATTTCATCAGGATATATTGCAAAAAGACATATCAAAGCAAATAGAATTGCTGTTATGTTACAAATTATTAAAAGAGATTTTTTCATACGATATGAACGACCTATATTAATAACGAAAAAACCAGTGAGAACACCTATAAAGTATGCAGATATACGACACCATGGAGTAATATAGATTGTATTGAAAAAACTAGGACCAGTCTAGAAAAAAATCATAGAAAATATTTTATTTAACTGTTATATATGAATTTACTTGAGGTGGTGTTAGGCTATTACTAGCTTGTAAACTTGGATAATATATTAAAAGACCTGCAATCGAACCAATACCAATAAGAGTAAATAAAATAGATACAATAAAACCAATTGCTTTTCGTCCGATAACAAAAGGTATTAAAGATAATGGAGCAATCCAATGAAATTGCATATCATTATGAAGATACCATGATATAGGTAAACACATATAATCTGGTTTTACTATATTACCAACATAAAGAATTGATGTCCACCAATATTCAGAACGACATTGAGGTGCTTCGAAACCTACTTGAGTTGGATATGCTGGACCATTACCAAAATAAGGTGTTAAATTAATACTAATTAAAATAACAAGAAGAAATGTTGGTGTAAGTCGAATATATCGATGAACATAATAGAGAATTATCAAACGAATAGATAATTTTCCTTGTTTTTCTACATGTCGAACAAATAAAATTGTTGTTAAAAATCCACTTAGAACAAAAAATGTATCAACACTAAATGTAGCATTTAAAATCAATTGCATAGATATATTACGAGACCATGTAAAAATATCGAGAATATTACTGGTAAATAATATACCAAAAAGGAAAGAATGACCGATAATAACCCAGAATAAAGATAATACACGAATACCATTAAGAAATTGATATGATTCATTATTATTTTTTTGTTTAATTGTAAATATTTGACGAAGAGTTTTTAATGCTGAAAATTCAGCTAAAAATATTACATATGGTTTACTTTTCATCCGAGTACGATAAGAATCTCGTGATGACATTCTTGATTCAGAGTCAATTAAATGATTATATCCACTAAGTTGTGCATTTATATCATTCACTGAATCAATTTTTGACATAAAAACAATATCAATAATTGTTCCTACCAAGACAAGTAAAGCTAAAAGTGATAAAATAATAATTGTTGCTATTGCTCCAGTTGTAAGATTTGATTGACCATTTGCAGGATCATTCGAACAGAGAAGATCGTCTTCCTTAATATTACTAATGTTGAGAAGAGTATGCATTAAAGAAACGACATCTTGTCGATGACATGATGATGGAACACAAATTCCAAGAACAAGACTTGCTACTCCTGTTATTTGTTGTGATGTTGACAAATCCAAATGCAAAGTACCTAAAAAAAGAAAAGAAATCATTTTAATTAAATTTATTACAAAGATAAATATACGAACAATGTTGTGTATCGAATGGCTGTGAAATAAATGATTTATTTGTTGGTAAATACATTGGTTGTAAGCATTCATCATAACTACCTACCCAATAGGTATTACCTTTCAATATACCAGATGGTAATGGCTTTCCCCATGCATCAAATACTTTCAAAGCCCACGTATCACGTTTTAAAATTGCTTGAAGAATTATTTCAAAATCTTGTTCACATTGAGTTACTTCATTATTAGAAAATAATGATATATATGAAGATATTTCATTCAATGCAATAGTATATGTTGAAATATCGTCTAAAAGACTAGTAAAGTTAGAATGTTGATGTTGAATAAGATAATTAATAGCTGCATCATGACGTAATGGAACTGTTTGATATTCTCGATGACAAACAACACTGGATATTGACAATAAGAGAAAAACAAGAAAGGACATTTTTTATTTTTTTCAAAATTTGTATAAACACCTATTTATATTATTACTCAGAATAATG